GAGAATTCGTGGCTGTTAAGAAAAATTGCGTCGTGCTTAGGAGAATAAAAGACAGTTAAGTTAGCACCAGTTAGAATGCAGGACTGAGTCACAATTTGATGATAAATAAATTTGTAGTGTGTTTTATTAATGATACGCATGATGAGGCATTAATCTTCAGTTCGATGCCAGTCAGAAATGACCTATTTCTTGAAGATTCACCTACAGCTAGACGACCTCCCCATCAAGGAGTTTAAGTTCTTGTCGAAGCTGTAAAACGCTCATTTAGGCTGAAAGGACGAAAAGCGCGTGATTCTGCTGGGATTCGAAATCGCAGTCGTCCGGCTGTGGACTGAACAAAAGTAGAAAGCCTGGATATAACCAACTTCGAAAATAAAATTTAACGATAACAAAACTTATTACCTGCTTCACGTCGTAAAGACCTGGCTCAGATATATGACGATTTTGCCGGGAATGGGACTGAATAATAGCCGAATCTAAAATTTAGAATTAAACAGTCGTCAGTTTTGAAGCAGGTTTATCAATTTTATTCGCAGTAAATCGACGCCATTCATAACTGGGCAAAACACGACGCCGAATAGCAATGTTAAGCATTTTTAGCAGTAGATACAAAAGTTTCGAATGCAATGAATACTCCATCGAGCATACTCCGTCTAAACAAAGATCCGCTGTGCCAGTCAATTACCTTCAAAATCTCAACGAACCGCGTCCATTGATGTCGTTCTTTACAACTGCGTCACGTCTTTGGCCTTCCTATTCTTCAATCCCTGGCATAACAAGCGCTTAAATCATGCGGCGCTCAAAATCACCCTTGAATCTTGCCGTCCCCAGGAATTCCCCAAAATTGGCTATACATGTTCAAGAGAACAGAGTTAATTTTCGCAGATTTTCTTGATACTGGAATCCAAACTACTGTCACTAGGATTCACAACTTTAGCTAACAGCTATCAGTACCACAGTACCCATCAAATAACTCCTCTTGTGAAATTTAGAGCTAAGAAAATAATGCAACATATTCTAATAGCTGGTCAGCCACTAATTCAATTCGGAAGGAGCAGAGTAATACTTACTTTGTCTAGAGCTAGTGCTGAAATCGCTCACTGCCTGCGAGAGAAGTTTCTGCGTATCCTGAGCACCAGCAGTGCCATAGTGATTTCCCAAAACGGAGTCAGTATTGGAAGACTTTGTGTCTCCGACTATGGTTACAGATGCGGACGGCTTTGGGGGCACCGGCGGAGGATCTAAAAGTAAGGAAGAATCACATAAAAACTCAGTTAAAGCAGTTAGTTCGCTAATCAACACTCTGTTAAGGCAAAACAGATATTTTCTGATATTGCTACGAAAGAAAAACAAACGAACGACAGCTGTGTATCTGTAATATTGACAGCATTCATACAGATGTTCATCCTTGGAAGAGGCAATGGTTTTCCTTTATGAGCTAATGAATGAGTATGCGGCAACGTCGACAAGTGTTCGTAGAATTTCTCCCGGTTTTCATACACGTGCCCGCAAAGTCCAGCTATAAAAATAGCAATCAACACGCTTTGAAACTAGAAAAGAGCTAGC